CTCGCTTACGTTATGCTTCTTTGTCTCATATCTAAACTTAGTCTCTAAAGGCTTGTTAGGTTAAGTTAAAACTAGAAATTTTGATTCATATCAGTCAGGCAAACAACTTGAGTTATCTTTTATTACTAGTGATTCTTGTACTTCTTCTACTTTTGACCTTATTCACTCTGATGTATGTGAGGATCTTTGTCTACCATAGGGAGCTCACAGTATTTAGTGATATTTGTTGATGATTTTTCACAATTCACGTGGATATTTTTCATGAAAATCTATTCTGAGTTGCTTAACATATATAGTGATTTTGCCAAAATGATTTTAACTCATTTTTTCAAAAACATTTAAAAAAAAAAAAAAATCATTCTGACAATACTATTGAATATTAACAAAATGCATTTTTTTCAAACACTCAAACATTATGGCACTATTTCACATACATCTTGTCCAAACACATCACAACAAAATGGTCGAGCTGAGCACAAACTTCGTCATATTCTAGACTTTTCTTGGTCACTCACCCTTTCTACTTCTATTCATACATCTTTCTAAGGGGAAGCAATTCTCATTAATGTATACACCATCAATCGTGTACCATCACCTCTCTTACACATCCAAACACCATATGAACTCCTCTTTGGCAAATCATCTTACTGCACTCATCTTAGAGTTTTCAGGTGTGCCTACTTTGTTCTTCTCCAACCCATGAATGCGCAAAATTGCAACCAGGTGCTCAACTTTGTTGCTTTCGATGTTATGATCCAATTTCTAAACGACTCTGAGTCTCTCGTCATGTTGTCTTCTGAGAATACAAGATGTTTCATTCATTGTCCAAGTTCAATATCTTTGATAATACATTTATTGTTCCTCCATTAACATTCTCTATAAGTCTTTTTTTCTTTTTCTCAACCTTCATAATCATCAGGAGCAGTTAATCCTCCTTCGATCGATCCCTAGTCATCTGGCCCACCTGAGGTACCTGACAATACATCTACTTTGGATATTTGTCATTCCACTCGGGAAAGAGCTCCACCTGCATATCCTAGTGATTTTCATTGCTAACACGTCCTTGCAACCTTACATGAACCTCACACTTTTCGTGAGGTATCATCTGACCCCTTGTGGCAGCAATGAAAGAAAAGTTAGATACACTAGCCAAAACTCAAACATAGGATCTAGTTTATTTGTCTCTTAGAAAGTCTGTTGTGGGATGCAAATGGGTATACAAGATTAAGACGCGCTCATATAGTTCTAATAAGTGCTACAAGGCCCAATTTATAACCAGAGGATTCACCCAGAAATATGGCATTGATTATGAGGAAACATATGCTCCTACTGCATGTCTAGCTTCCCTATGTTCGCACTCTTATTAATGTGGTTGTTTCCCGTCACTGGGGACTTTTTTAGATGGATGTTAAAAATACATTTCTTAATGGTGATTTACTTGAGAATGTTTACATGCAGCATCCTCCAGGTTATCATCATCCTCCTAATAAGGTGTTTCGGCTCATACATGCTCTGTATGGACTCAAATAGGCACTTCGAGCTTGGTTTGCCAAATTCAGCTAGACTATCTCTCATATTAGATACTTTACTAGCTCTTACGACTTAGCTCTATTCGTTCGACACACTGACTAGGGTATCATTCTTCTTTTATTTTGTGTTGATGATATAATCATCATTCAAGATGATTTGACGGGAATTCAGTAGCTCAAATTATTTCTCTGTCATCAATTCGAGATGAAGGATCTTGGACCTCTCAGTTATTTTTTGGTCTCGAGATCACTATAGTTGTTGATGGTTACTACCTTACTCAAGCCAAATATAGTTCAAATCTTCTCTCGAAAATTATGATAACTGACAGTAAAATTACAAATACCCCACTCGAGCACAATGTGAGACTTAATCCACATAATGGAGAACTTTTTCATGATGACACCTTGTATCGACACTTGGTTGGTAATCTGGTATACCTCACTGTCACTCGTCCAGACGTCTCTCATGTTGTTCATATAGTAAATCAGTTCATGGTTGCCCCTAGATCAACTCATTTGGTCGTAGTTCTTCACACCATTCGCTATCTCAAAGACACTATGTTTCATAGGCTTCATTTCTCTTCTCAATCATCACTTATTCTTCGTGCCTATTCGTATTCAAACTGGGTTCCACCACGGGTTTTTGTTTTTTTCTTGGTGATTCACTCATCTCTTGGCCCAACAAGAAACATACCGTGGTTTCTCAGTCTAATGCAGAAACTGAGTATAGGGTACTTGTTGATGCTACTTCTAAGCTTATATGGTTATGTTGCCTCCTTCAGGACATGGGGGTTTCCTCATCCACTACCACTCCTATCTATTGTGATAATACGAGTGTCATCCAAATTGCACACAATGATTTTTTTCTCAGTCAAACAATATATATATATATATATATATATATAAACAAAGATTTACAAGGCCAAATTGGCCCAAAGCAGCCTAACCAGGCATACCATAGAAATAAAAAGCCATCTTACAAAGCCCAAACCCAACAAGTTACCCATGACCATGGTCAGTTATAATGGTGGTGCAAAAATAGTCGTTGATTACTGCTTCCGTAACAGTTAGCAACGGATATTTATGAGCAATCCAGTGAGGTTGTAGAGCAATCGATGATCTCCCTCATCCAATTAGTCTGGAGGTCTTGGAGGTGGTCAATTACCAGCAAATGAAGGTAGGTTTTTATAAAGCCTATTATTCCTTTCTTGCCATATATTGTAGACTAGTGTTGTAAGTGCTAGCGTCAGAGCTGGTCTGTTGATAAGCTATGAAATTTTCGATGCAAATAAAAATTCATTATTAGGATCATCCATGCAAGATTAAACAAGAATTTTGCCACAATATTAATTATACTTGGACTGATATGGACTCTGATATTAAAACATACAAGGTACACTCCATCCCACCCTAGATGTGACGATCGCTTTGAATGGTAACTGTACAAAACTTTGCAAGAATGCAGAGATATTTACTTATAATAAGCTATTTTCAAGCATTCTTATTTGACTTTAGGGTCTATTTAGATAGATGGAAATTTATAATAAAAAATAAAAGGAAAAGAAAGTGAAGGGAAAGAAAAGAGAAAGGGGAGAGGATAAAGGAAAATCCAGTTTTCATTGTACAATTGGTTAGTAAGAAATTTTTTGAAGAAAATTGTGAGAATATATTATTTTATTAGTTTGGATAACATGAAAAAGAAAAGAAAACATTTATACCTACCAAAATACACTTATAATTTAAAATACTAAAAAAATAAATAAATTTGTATTAGATAAATACTCTTTACACTCCATTGTTTATTTTAACAAAGAAATAATAAAATATGAATTATTAAAAATAATTTTTTCATTGACAAGAATTATTAAAAATAATAATATAATTATTTATATTTAGGTCTATATCCAATTTGTCCCTCTCAACACCCATGATCAACATTACCCAAGTCAATTTTTATGTTATATAATGCAATTTTATATTTGCGTTATAAAGCTGGGGTTTTGGCTCTGGTTTGAACACTGAGAGAGGACTGTGATACCAGATGAATATGTGTCGAGTTTTGAAAGAAATTGAAGTGATAGATAAGAGGACGATAGATGAGTTTCAAACCGGTTCTCCTCTGGCCGACAATCCCAACACTAGCCATAGTTTTCACACAAATAGTAGATATATATATAAGCATTTATGTATTTACATACAACTCTTGATCATTATCATAATTCAATAATGGAAGGAAAAAATAAATCAATTTTGTATGTACACATAAAAATACAAACAATTAAATTAATAGTAATACATAATTGTATAAACAAGCAATTTACACAAGGAAACTCACATTTTGAATGAAGTCTGTAATCTAGTGAAGAGAGACAAATATGAAGTGTTTTATGCGGAGGGAAAAAAAAATTGGGAAAATTTATCAAATGCCGGGAAACTTAATTTCCCCAAAAACTTTCACTTTCCATCCAAAAAAATTAAAATTTTCCCTTAGACCCTAAGAAAATGCTCAAGATATACAACACCTTAGTTTTCCTCTGTCACAACCTAAAAGCAGCAATATAACCATTGTCATTCAAAGTTCATCCAAAACCAAATTGTTGAGAACGTTTTGGGTCTGTTTGATTCAATTTATCTAATTCTCTAAAAACAAAACCTTTTTTTAACTAAATTTTCAAAGAACTAACAACCAAACAAGTTTTGATTTTTCAATTTACTGTTTTATTCTCTGAAAACTGAAGCAAACAGAATTTTTGTGTTGTTTTCTTTGTCATTCAAAAGCAGCGTTTAATTCCACATGTCACTCCACCTAGACTCGAGTTAATTCTTAGCAAAAACACTTTGTGAAGATAGAAAAATATTTCAAAGACCAGTTAATTGTTGCATGGAGGAGTTTAGAAGCAGAGGAGCTTCCGTTCATAACAGATCACTCGCATGCCAATTTGCTGACCGTGTTTGTTTATCAAGTAACTTAACCCAGATATGTTATGGTCTCCACTCAACATGCACAATGATGATAATTTCTAATTTAATCTCTGATTTATCACATTTAAACTAAATTAAAATATCTGTGACTCACAGATAGTCCTTCGCTAACCAAGAAAATAAAAAAAAAAATCGTTTTAACAGGGAAAATAACATGGAAGTACTAAGCAACCCCAGAAAAATCCTACAAGTGAAGTTCCACAACTGTACAGCTGTTTCGTGCACAAGCCACAGGACTTCGTCGAATCCTTTATAAGATGTAAATTTCGGGATAAAAGATCTTTAGTATTATTTCTTCCCTAAAGTTATTTCCAGACACTATCTGCTTCAAAATGACTTCCACTTAAATGGCCAAAATGAAAGTCGCATGCGGGATTAGTAGAAAGATTATCCTGGAAATGGTATCAATAAACCATGCGGTAAAGTATGCTTTCGGCCCAAGAGCATAAATTATTTTGTTCTAATAGTAATCCAGGGAAGAGCATAATGTAGAATAATATCCTGAAATTTTTAGAATGTCACCGAGTTTCAACATTACTACATTAGAAGCAGGAAGACGTACGACATAACAGGTACACTTGGTTACAAAAATAAGTAGCCACATTTGACGAAATTTAATCAGCAATCCCACACGTCACAATAACTAACTAAGGTCCTTCAACATGTACACTAAACAGGGTGGAACCTAAGCAATGGATTGGAATATGCAGTACACAATGACCGAAGGAACAACTAAACTTACTAACCGAAAAAAGAAAGGAACAACTAAACTTGTAACAGTTACCTCCATCCATCATTTCTTAAATTGAATACCACAACATTCCTCACCAGCATCCGAGGATCAATCTCCGTCAAGTTATTTGTGGTGCTTGTGTAAGCAAAAATTAAGCTTAGAGGAAGACAACAGGTTAAACATCCTATTCATCATGCCATCCTGCGGGATCTGCATAGAAAATAAACACATTTTAACCATTGTAACACATTGGACGTTAGAATAATCAGATTAAGAAATCAAAGAGATTCTCAAAAATCATGTCTAAGGTATTTCAAAAATCATGTTTAAGGTATTTGTACGCGTCCTACAACTGATAACATGGATTACAGGATCCAATTATGAAGCTCGCACACTATCTGACTCTAGTGCTTAAATTGTTGTTTCATGCCTCACATAATGACCATCTTCCCAGTAAGGGGCCTTCTAATCTCCTATTAGGCGTCCCATAACAAGCCAGATTTCAATCCGCAGTCTCATCTTTAAAACTGCAGTCCCTTGCTGCAACTTACAACAACTCTCAGATGATAAATTAACCAGGTATGCCCATCCCATCAACTGCCTTAAAAGTTACCATCATACATAACACATTTCCTCAATGGGCCAATAGAAACAGAAACAACAACAAAAAAACAAAGAGCTTTTCAAATCCTTCATTAATATGGTTTTTTATAAGTCAAATCCTACATTAATATCACTTGGAAACCCTAAGCAAACTATGAAATGGGTGTAAGAGACATCCATATGATGGAAGAAACAGGATGAAGCGGAGACGTTGAAGGTCAGAATTCACATTCAAACAAGAATGACGCACTGTTTCATTTAAGCAATACAGGACAAGAGCATATACAAATTGAGATATATTTGAAAGGGATGACAGTTTTACCTGACCTGTCAGGTTTCCGCCCCACCCCTGGGACGGGTATGGAAAAAGATTATAAACCCAATACGAATTACGGGCAGAGATGGGTTTTATTCTATCCCGCCCAGATCAAATACTCTCTATATATATACATTTACACACACACATACATTCTATATTTACATAATTTTTTTTTTTTTTTTTTTTTTTGATAAGTAAAATTGTATTAGAAGGCGTTCAAAAGGGGAACGCGTCCCAAGAACTGTACAAATACGAAAAAAGAGAAAAAATGAGATCTATGAACCCAACGACCCCAAAAGGTCCATAATCTCATCCAAAGAAATACAATCTCGCCCCATACCCCAGCTAAAAAGGGAGCAAAGAATAGTGAACTTCAAAGCCCCAATGGAGGTCCCCTCCCCATCAAAAGATCTACGATTGCATTCTTTCCAAAAACTCCACCAAATACAAAGGGGAATCACCCTCCAGAAAATACGAGCGCGCGCTCCCACCAATTGACCCCTCCACCCATCAATCAGATCCCTTGAGGTCCAGGGCATAACCCATTGCACACCAAAGAGAGACCCAACAAAAGGCTCCAGCAATCGTGAGCTACGGACAGTGCAAGAGAAGGTGATCCACAGACTCTCCATCATTCATGCACATACAATACCGGTTAACGTTAACATGTCGTCTCTTTCTCAAATTGTCCAGAGTCAAAATCTTGCCCCAAGCAGCTGTCCACACAAAAAAAGCCATCCTTAGAGGAGCCATCAAGGGCCAAACCGTTTTCCACGAGAAGGTAGGACCACGAAAATCTGAAAGCTGGTGAAAATAGGACCAGACTTGAAACTTCCCCCGAGGAGAAAGCACCCAAGTCAAAGAGTCAGGCCCGGTGCCATCCACCTCTTGTTGATACAAAAGATCCAACAAACCAATGACATCATCCAACTCCCAATCATGAAAGGATCGCCGGAACTGAACATCCCAAGACAACCTACTGCTATCAAGGCGATAGCAGTCAACAACCATAGCATGTCTATCAACAGCAATCCTGAAAAACCTTGGGTATAGATGAGACAAAAGACGGTCCTCGCACCAAGCATCCTCCCAAAATCGAATATCCCTTCCTTCCCGGACTCTGAATCTAATTTGCTTTGAGAAATCATCCCAACCTCTCCCAACGGATTTCCAAACCCCCACACCCACAGCAGACCTGACCTGTCTAGCTAACCATACCCCCCTTTCCTCTCCAAACTGACAAGAAACAACCTTCCTCCATAACCTATTACGTTCACTGCCGAATCTCCAGAGCCACTTGCCTAGGAGGGCCCTGTTGAAAGGGGCCAATCTCCTAATCCCTAGGCCTCCAAACCTGAGGCGCCCACAAACCTGCTCCCATCGAACAAGATGATACTTAAACTCCTCTCCTCTACCGCCCCACAAGAAATTCCATTAAAGCATCTCAAGTCTTCCAACAATAACAGAAGGGATCTAGAAGAGTGACAGGAAATAAGTTGGTAGACTAAATAAAGTGCTCTTCACTAGAGTAACTTTTCCCCCCTTCGAAAGGTATTGCTTTATCCACCCTGCCAGCCTTCTCTCGAATCGCTCAATCACCAGGTCCCAGCTTCCCACCCTTTTTGTCGAGACACCCAAAGGCAAGCCTAAATAAGAAATAGGGAAGGAACTCGTCCTACACCCTAAAACAGCTGTGAGAGACTCCACCTCCTCAATATCCCCCACAGGGACAATAACACTCTTTCCCACGTTGACTTTCAGCCCAGAGACTGCCTGAAAGCAAGTAAGGACACATCGCAAATATCTCAACTAGGACACCTCAGCCTCACAGAAAACCAGAGTGTCATCCGCGAAGAGCAAATGAGAGATTTCCAACTGATGAGCTGCATCTGAACCAATCTTGAAGCCCCGTATGAACCCCAAATCCACAGCCCTCCTCATCAATCTACTAAGAGCCTCCATGACAATAATGAACAGAAAAATAGGAGAGAGGGTCCCCTTGCCTCAAACCACGGGAGCTGCCAAAAAACCCGGATGGGGATCCATTAACCAACACCGAAAATCTGACAGATGAAACGCAAGAAACTATCCATCGCCTCCATTTCTCTCCGAAACCCATCCTCTCTAACAAATAGAACAGAAAATTCCAACAAACATGATCATAGGCGTTTTCGATGTCCAGCTTGCACAAAACACCAGGAATCCCGCTACTGAGTCATAAATTCACACATTCACTGGCAATAAGAACTGAATCCAGGATCTGTCTACCCCCAACAAATGCATTCTGAGAGTCAGAGATAACGCTGTCCAAAACCCCCTACAAGCGAAGCGCAAGGACTTTAGCGATCAGCTTATAAATACACCCAATCAGACTAATGGGTCTAAAGTCCTTAAGGTCAGTTGCCCCTCCCTTCTTAGGGATAAGAGCAATAAAAGAAGAATTCAACAACTTTTCGAACCTCCCATTAGAGTGGAACTCATGGAACGTGCCCATAACCTCCTGACGAACCACCTCCCAACTCTCCAGAAGGAACCTCATAGTGAAACCATCCGGACCTGGGCTTTGTCACCATTGCAACTCCTCAACGCCAAAAGAACCTCCTCCTCCGAAAAGGGTCTCTCTAGCCCTTCCTTATCCACCACTGAAATAGAATCAAAATGAAGACCATCGAGGCATGGCCTCCAACAAAGAGGATCAGTGTACAACCTCTAATAAAAAGAAACAATCCCCGAACGTACTTCCTCCTCAGAACACAACATTGTTCCATCCACACACATCCGCCCCATATAATTGCCCCTCGTATGGGCACTAGCTGTACGGTGAAAAAACTTAGTATTACGGTCACCCTCTTTGAGCCACAAGGCCTGAGACTTTTTGTCGCCACGAGATTTCCTCCATTATCGCAATTTCGCCACATTAAGCCTGACAAGCTGCTCTCCTGTTACGTTGAGACTCAACAAGACCACTAACTGCTTCTAATCTGTCTAACTCTGCAATTTCAGTGAGGGCTCTATTCTTCCTCCATTCCAGATTACTAAAGACCTCCTTATTCCATGTTTTGAGCTTATCTTTTAAAAGGCGAAGCTTCCCTGCTAAAATGAAGCTCGAAGTTAAAAATGAAGCTCGAAGTTCCCACAACCAAATCGTCCTCCCACCAAGACCGCACCAACCCTTGAAAATCCACCGCTCTAAGCCACATATTCTCAAATCTGAAAGGGGTACGACGTGAACTCAACCCTCCACAGTCTAAAACCAAAGGAATGTGATCCGACGTAACCCTAGCCAGAGCGGCCTGAACAGCATCCGAAAATAAAATATTAACACAACTATTTAGGGAAAATAAAATATTCACATAACTAACCCTAACACACTCCCAGCACCCCCCACCCCCAAACACAGAAACAAAATCCTCACATTTTGCCTCTCCCTCCCTCACATTTTCAAGAAGGGGAGTTTGAAAACATTCTGAAGAATCCTAACTGGATCAAATAGAACTTGTCTTTAGACACTCCTTACGCAACATGGGAGGTACAGGAAACCCCATCTGAGAAAAGTGGAGGGAGGTCTGGATCTCTGATCTGTAAAGCACTAATCAACCCACACCCACACCCTCATGCTCTGCTTCTCCCCTCTTCCACGATCTACCTCCTTGAAAGAGGAAAAACCTTCCAAACCTCTGATCATCTCCCAATACTCAGCTGCAAGACTGGCAAAAAGCTTGTCTTCTGACTCTTGACTCTTCTCTTCCGTTTTTCCTATGCCTTCCTGCTCTTCCGACGATAATCGTCCTATCAGATAAGTGCCTCCCTTTGACACAAGCTATATCTCACACCATTCATATATATACACGTGTGTATATATAGGATTTTCATTCTGTTTTATACACATCTATGTTTGCATATACCTCAAACACTTGACCAATCGATCCAATCATAAATGATTCTGCTGAAACAATATGAAGCATCCAAAGACTGATCATATTAGACAGGAAAAAGCATCACTCAAAGATCTCATGTTAAAATTGAATGAAGAAAGTAGAGTCAATTGCTCAACAAAGCCTTTTTCTAACTTGGAAAAGTTACCACAAAGCCTTGGGTAGAGTGGTATGTGCTATACCTCCCCAAAGGGAAGGTTGATGGTTCAAGCCCTAGTGAAGGCGTGTGTGTTGTGTGTACTTTTATTTATAAAATAAAAGGTCAAAAAAAAAGGTAGAGCCAGCGAACCAAATATCAACTTGATACTTGGAATTACCTCAAAGAATTGCATCACCCTTGATCCTAACATGGA